TCAAGGTCAACTAATCAACTTAAGGACTCAACACGAACTAGAGAGTCATTTACAAGAACCAACAAAACAAGTGAAAACGAAACGTATGATGTAGTTCCCTTACATGGAAAACCATCCCAATACAACAATATAGTGAGGTTTTTATAGGACTAAGAAAATTGAGAAGCATCTACAAGATCAACGAATCATTATATCGTTGCCACCAAAACGTCTAGTTTGGATGAGATTAGACAATTTCAAGGATTCGAATAATTAGACATGTTTAATGTGTTTGTATCTAAAATAATTCTTTCGGATCAAACAATCAAATAAATAAGAAAAATATTTAAAATTTATATTATCATGCCATGTATTGAACTGAAATAGTTTATCCATACAATTACCTATATTTTTATTCACAAGGAGAAATCAACTCATATATCATTAAGTTTGATCGTCATGGAGATTATGATCTTATATATACTTTTTTTTACATGATGGGTTAGTTAGCTCCAAACAAACTCCTTACCCCCATGCTTTATATCAGATGTCACATTCTTTAATTTTATTTTAATGAACAAATTGTTCATCTTAAGGTTCATTCCTAATAGAAAATCATGGTATGTCAAGCCCTCATAAACCACCTTTTGAATGTGAAAAAATACACTCATGCTTCTAAGCACAACTTTGTAAAGTATGTGTTGATTTTCTTTTGGAGTTTCATTGTCACTATGGAAAACACACATGGGGACCTTCATATGGTTAAAGAACTTATTATCTGAGTGTATGACGCATCAAGAAGATTATGTACTACACTCTAACAACCAGAGTGTAATCCACTTGGCAAAGAATCCAGTGTTTCACATTAGAACAAAATAAATTCACATGAGCTACTATTTTATCATGAAATTGATAAATGATAGTGATCTAATTTGAATAAGATACTTACTACAAAGAATCCAACATTTGTTCTTACCAAGGTAGTGAAAATAAGGAAACTAAAATTTTTACGATTGGCCTTCCAGATACTCGAAGATAACGCATGGCCTAAAGTGAAGGGGTTATATAATTCGAGTTTGGATGACAATATATTAGTTGAAAAACCTCCAAATAGGAGTTTGTTGATTGATAGAGCCTGGACTTCCCTTAAACCTAATTTCAATAACAAAGACAGAGAACTAGTACAACGCCTAAGGAAAAAAAATTCATGGTTTAGGTCTTATATTAAATACAAAATCAAAATATGTTATGTGGTAGATTTGTTAGAGTTTGTTGTGCTTGTCCTTATTAGCAAAATTTAGGTCAACTTGGTTGTATAAATATATCCCTTTTGACTTCGTGTATCCCTAAATAAAGGTGTAAGTAGATGGCTAACAATAAAAATATATATATATATATATATATATATTATATATATATATATATATATATATATATATATATATATATATATATATATATATATATGGAGGTAGCACTATTTCTCTAATCAAGTGAACTATGTTAAATATTTTGAATCTTATTTCTTATTGACATATTACTATGCGTGTACAAAATCATTTTATTATTTGTATAAATGCTTAAATCTTTACACATGATATCAAAGATATGGCTGAAGATTGGTAGGTTAAGATTAATAAATTTGAATGTAATGATTTCATGTTTTAGATAATGTATATTGAATATTTTCTCAACTAAAGAAGTTACACGAACCCTTAACCAAAAAGAAACCTTAAACAATAAAACAAGATAATTAGAATCTATTGAATTGACAAGATCTTGTCATTAACAAGACTGTATATATAATATAAAAACCCTCCACAATGAATAAGGATTTCTTGATCAAGAAATTTGTTAATACGAAGATGATGGAAGGCGGATCGGTGACACGAGTGTTATCGTTAAAGATAGCGAGGTAATAGCGAGAACTTACCTATACGATACGTAGCGATAGTGATGGAATAGCAACGACTATTTCATTTTTAGCGATTCCCTATTAAAAATATTAATACTATTTTTACATTTACCTTTTAGCAATTTTAACTAATAGCTAAAAACCCATATTATCAGCTTGATAAGTTCTTAAACATGAGTATTATATAATTGATTAACAACAAGCATTCAAATTATAACGAGAAGAAAGAACTCTTAAGAAACAAAACAAAATGTAAAAAGTTCTAGAAAAATAAAACCTTTGAAGGTGATATCGAGAGAAAGAATGTGCAAGAAAACTTTCGTTTATCACATAAATAGAATAGGATTAGTAATGTGGAATATATAATCAATTAAATATATTAAAAAGAATTAATTAAAGCATCAAAATTCAAAAACAAAGTCGAAGAGGTTGTGAAACGCAACTCTTTTTTCCCGATCGATGTTTTACCATCAATCTCTAGATCGGCGATCTTATTGCCAAATTGGCGATCCCAAATGTAAAATTGGTGATCCTAATCACGAATTCGACGAATTCTGATTGGTAAAACCATGTTCCAACAATCAATTTTGTCATTTTATATAAAACCTGAACTACTAAGTTTACATTTAAAGGCATTCACAACCTGGTCGTTGGTAAGGATATTTACATAAGGAATGAAATTGAGATATCTAGTAGTCTGTGGAGTACATAATACAAAGGAATAAAACAACAATCCGAAGAAGAAGTGTTAGAGGAAGAAAAAAATCACAGAAGAGCAGTTAGTAGAAGAACATGAAGGATATTGCCTTCTAGAATTGAAAAGTAAGTGGCTATTTTAAAAATCAATACCTAAAACCCTCAACAAACAAAGGAAACCGTGTGGTGAATGTGGTAACATACTTCAATGATAGTGCACTTATATTCCATGGTTGAAGAATATAACATTTGACTTTTGTGAGCCACGTATTATTGGAAAATAGAAGAAAGTTAGCATTTTAAAATTGGATAAACCTCATAAAGTTGAAAATTTTAAGTTAGTTTATTAAGACGTATACAACCTACTTTCAGTTTCATAAATGTGATGATTTTTGTAGTATGTACATTTCTTGACGACTACATAAGGAAAGTTTGATCTTGTTTCTTGAAGAATAAATCTAAAGTATTCGACACCTTCAAGAAATGTAAATTTGATATGGAAAATGAATCAAATACAAAGATTAAGTGTTTTAAGTCATATAATAGGGGAGAATAAAAAATCAAAGAATTTATTGATAAGTATGTTGACTAATATATCATAATGTTAAAGGTGGTATTAGAGATACCTCGACATAATGGAGTAGATAAAAGGATGAATTGTACTTTATACTGAAAGGAAAAGAGCATGAGACTACATGTAGGGTTTCACAAGATGTTTTGGGAAGATTTAATCAAAAGAACAACATAATTAATCAACAGAGGATCATAAATCCCCTTAGGGTTCAAAATTCTAGAAGGGAAATGGCAAGGTTGGGAGATTTTAGTCAAACATTTGTAATTTTTTAAATGTGTCTCATATGTGAAGATCAAGGACTTGAAAAGAGACAAACTCAAGGAAAATGCAAGGAAATGCACCTTTATAGTCTATCAGTTAGTTGATATGGGTTACCGCTTCTAGGATAAGCAAAGCCAAAGTGTTATCAAAGGTCAAGTTCTAGTAGTCAAATAGATTGCCTTATACATGGATTATATTCTACAATGCCCAAGTAAAGAAAATAACTAGAAAAGAAAAATCAAGGTTAGTTTAATGAAATCTCAAATGAAGACATTGTAAAACCTATTGTACTCGTGAGATATTGAAAGCCTAAAGGATGAAGTTACATATGTAAAGGAGAATGGATCATATAGTTTCCATATATCCATTAGGGAAAAAAACACAAATTATGTCTTCTCATTAGATAATTATTAGTTACTAACAAAGAATGGTGAACCTAAATTTTATCCAGAGGCCTTAAGGATGAAACACATCATTACTGGATGCATGCTATGAAAAACTATTTGAGATAGCCTAACAAGAAGCAAAATTGGTCGTGTTGCACCGATAAAAGACATCAAAAGTTCCCTTATTATGGTGAGATGTGAGACTCCAACATATATTCACTTACATAGTTGTGTCACACCGATGTGAGATAAGAGCGGGACATTTGGTGTTCTTCCATGTTATACATATCCTCGTATTTAAACCCTTTAGTTTTATTCAAAGTTCATTCTTGAGAACCATGAATAAATGTCATTGCTTTCCAAAAAAGTGATATTTACAGATGGAGAAGGTAATGCAAGTAACACCCAAAGTCCACCCTATTTTTTTGTAGACATTTCTTCGAATCCTGATATCTTGTAGATATTATCAATGTTTCCAATAACATTTAGAGGCTTGACATCTCCAACCAATTTGTTGTTTAAGTTCAATCTTAATTAGTGATGAGAATTCCTTTCATGACATGAGGATAATTGATATGTTTTTCACTCTTTCTCCATATATTTGCAACTCAAATCTCTTTTTTAGACTTACCTAACTACAATGATGTTTATAAATGAATGGCCATCGACTTTGTTTTTTATGGCTTTTCCCTATCTATGGGTTCTAGAAATTCATCCTAGAATTCCATTTATAGATCTCATGATGTTTCCATTTCTTTGCAAGATGTCGCTAAAAATTGGCAACATTAACGATCATCGTGAATGATTCCATCGAGATCCTATATTTCGTGTAAGAAAATTGGTTATCATTATTGACCTACATATAGTGTTTAAAACCAAGCATTTACTCTCATCTTGTTTATCTTATTAGCCACATAAATCTAGGCTACTACACCTTATCTGTGAAAAAAATATGTTCATGAGGTTTTTTGGAGATCAGGTTGTGAACTTGTCTAATAGCTCTTCAATATTACTTGAATGTGTAGAAGTGCATATTTTGTTGCGAAAAAACACTCTAGGTTTTTTAAATGATATTAATGCAATACAATTTATTTATTAACATAAACATAGTATAGTTTGGTGCATCATATTCTTTACAAGTCCTAATATATATATATATATATATATATATATATATATATATAGAGAGAGAGAGAGAGAGAGGGAGAGAGAGAGAGAGAGAGGGAGAGAGAGAGAAAGAGAGTAAGAGAGAGAGAGAGAATTTCATCTATATCCATGTAAACTTCTGTAATTAAGTACATATCCTTGTAAAACTTTAAATTACTTGTATATATCCTTATAAAACCTATATACTAACATCTATATCCAGATACTTAATTTAGTCATATTTAATATATTACATAATTTAAAAAACACTATCTTTAAATTGATTTTTTATAGGTAAGAAAATAATTAACTTATAACATTACAATATTAGTCTTCCCCTACATTGCTATTTTCGACCTATTTATTTCATGAATCCTTAGAAAATATTAACACCGACATTGAAATTAATTTTTTTAGTGATTTTACTGAGAATCACCAAGAACTATGGGAAAAAAGAAAATAGTTTGGAAAAGAATAATTGTAGGTTTCCTAAATTAATTCTAGGAGATTAAATATGTTGTTTAGCAATCGAGTAGACATATAAAATAATCGAGTTTTGCTAATCGGTTATAAATAGTATGAAATGGCAAATAATCAGGTCGTGAATACTACCCATATTCGTGAATAAAGACCCCGGTTATAAAAAGGGATTGCAAAGTAGTAGTTTAGTTATAATTTCTTTTAAAGATAATGTTTTTAAATTTTAAATGTATTTATTATCATTAAACATATATTTGGGTATATATACAATTTATAGGTTTTATAAGAATATACATTTAATTTGGAGTTTTATAAGGTGTATACATAATTAAGAAATTTGATGAAGATATAAATGGAATTCGCCCATTAAAATGGCATTTAAGTCCAACTTTGTTCGGTACTTTGGTATAGCTAATTGCCTAATTATTCAAATTATTAATTTACAAAAAATAAGAAATTATTTATTGTTAAATCCCTTTCAACCTAATCTAGTGTAATAAACTAAAAATTTTTTTCCACATATTACATTTTCATTTATTTAATTATATATCATTTTATAGTTATTTTAAATTAATTTCTCTTCAACATATCATTTTATGGTTTCTCTATTTTTTTTAAATTTTATATAATATTTAAATATAATCATAAATGCATATCAATTTCATTAATTCGAATTTTAAAATTACTAAATTAAAACCTTATTAGCTTTTTTTATTTATTTATCTAAATTATTTGTTTAATTTTAAAAGTGAATAAATATTTTATTTTAATAATTCAATATTTTTTTCACTTTTTATTATAAATTATAAAGTGTTTAGAATTTCATATTTAATTTTTCATTTAAATTACATCACACCTAATAACTTCGAAACATTTACAGTGTTTAAGGTTACAAAATAATTTATTTTAACTTTCAATAGAAACAAAGAATGCATTAGCCCTATCTACGGCTTGTAATTACAGAGAACTTCTAACAACTACAACCATAATGAAGATTTCGAATAACCGAATCCTTCAGTTCTTAAAATTAACATAATCCTTGATCTTCATGTGTAACAGGCAACTATAGACAACAAGAATGTTGTGGCAGTGAAGAAACTTCTTGTACGGCATGGTAGAGCAAGACTAGAATTTGACAATGAGGTTAAACTCATGAGTAGCGTCCGCCACCGTAATCTTGTCCGTGTTCTTGGTTGGTCCAGTGAAGGTCCAGAGCTCCTTTTGGTCCTAGAATACATGCCGAATGGTAGTCTTGACAAATTCTTGTGGGGTAAGTTATACTGATTTATGGAAAACAAAGAAGATTACTTTCTTGCTTACTTATGTTGATAGTTTCATTAATGTACTAGTATAATGTAAATTAACAACAAGTAGGTGAAGCGAAAGGAAGATTGAACTGGAAACAAAGATTTAATATCATATTTGGGATCGCTCGGGGTCTTGCACATTTACACCATGAATTCCATGTCAAAATCATTCATAGGGATATAAAGTCAGCAAACATTCTCATTGATGATGACTTCCAACCCAAAATTGCAGACTTCGGATTGGCTAGGTTTCAACAAGAAGGTCAATCCCATGTTAGCACTAAATTTGCTGGGACCTTGTATGTTAACATTGTATACTTTATTCATTGTTTACTATAATGGACCCAAATTCTGTAACTATCGTAATAACAAATTTTGTAGAACATTTTAATATAGGGGTTATACTGCACCAGAATATGCAACACATGGACACTTATCAGACAAGGTAGATACGTATAGCTTTGGTGTCGTGACCCTTGAAATCATAAGTGGTCGAAGATGCAATGATGTGAACTCCCAAAGATCGGACGTTTGTTACCTCCTTGACGATGTAAGATACAATATTATAAAATTTTAATAAAAATGATTTGAAAAACTAGGCATGTATTGTAGAGATAATTAGCTATTCATTTTTCGTTAATAACTCAACTCAGTAAATTGGTCATTAACTATATTTTTAATTTTCTATAACAATGTGAATAGGCATGGAAGTTTTATGAGAACAACATGCATCTGAAGGTCATTGATGAAAATTTAAATCTGACAGAGAGTGAACAAGAACATGTCAAGAAGATTATTGAAATTGCTTTAAAGTGCACTCAATCACCAGTTAGCATAAGACCAGCCATGTCTGAAGTTGTTATAATGATTTCAAATGAAAGATCTTTCGTGCGAATAAATTGAGGCAGCAAGTCTATTCTCGATAAAATAAATTGAAGGAGGCTATTCTAGAAACTCTAGGTGTTCAAAAATATTAGAAGGAAATACGCGGAACATGGGCAGCAGTTTTTGCCCAAGATGATCTTGTAGACATGATAAAAAATATCTTCTTATGCTAGAAAAGGACTTTAGTTTCCTGAGAAGCTTTTGGTTTTTGAACGATTTTATCTCATAATATTGAAAAAAAAATATGTTAATTCTTTTATGCAAAATAACAAACTCATGTTGAGTTATTCGTGGCCATGTTCATAGTAACAAGTAAAAAATCACCATATGCTTGGACATATCATGAGCGTGGAGATTCAAATACGGGAAGTGGAATAGTGTAGTAGTGTAGACAAAGTGAATTTCCTTTTTCTCATGGAATGATGGTTATGACAAAGACTCTCTACATCACTTTTGCTATATTACATGCCATCTTGTCGTATGCGAGGGAATTGGCTGAACATGAACAGTTGTATTGGAGGGGCCGAAACAAAAACTTTGAAACAAACAACATAAAAAACTTGTATTTGATTCGTAGTTATATCATATAAAAAAATAAAACAAAATAGTTAGGGGTTATTGATTTAACTTTTTATAGTCCAAAAGTTCTTTTTGGAAAAATTACAAAAAATCAGAATTTGCTGATTTTTCGAAAAAGTTCATTTCCTTGTATAAAAACTCTAAAAATAGCTTTTAAAATTGTTTTGCCAAACATTTTTTGTTTTTTTCTTTTTCAAAAAGAACTTTTGGACTATAAAAAACTAAATCAAACATCCCTTTAATATTAAATATTCCAATATCGTTTATTAAAGTGGAATTGATCTCTTACACAATTGTCTATAAAAATAGTCTTTGCTGCAAGCCTTATTTTAAAGTAAAAAACTAATGAGCCCTTCAAAAACGCACATGCTAGTTTTGTATTGAGTGTCTAGGGTATCTATTTAGCAACATGCTTTCTTTTAATAAATATTACAATTGTTTTCTTTTTTGGTTTGATTTATATTATAATTACTATAGACATGTGTACTATACGGGTTTATTAAAAATAAAAAGTTTAACATTAATATGTAAATATTAAATATTTTATAAAGTAATTAAAAAAATAATGTAAACAATAAGTTTATAACATTTATATGAATTTATTCTCAAATTAATAAAATAATAAAATTACATTAATAGAATTAGAACATTCCATATATATAACCGTAAATTCTGAAAAAAAAAAATTAATGTGATAATGAAAAATCTCAAAAAATGACAAGTGAAAAATAAGAAAATGAAAAAAAAAATCATTCGGGAAAATGAAGGAAACGAAGACATTTGACAAAAATAAATAATTAAATAAATAAGTAAAAACTTTCATTTATTAGAAAGGATATCATAATTAACTAACTATAAATGAATCACAAAATAAAAATAACAATTATAATTACAGTTTGAGAAATAACTAATTATCTCACAAAAAAAATTAGAAGCAACATGGAGGCTGCTGGAGAAACCCCATCCGCTCACCTCTTTCCACCATCGACGGGAAACAGACCCTTTTCCCTCACACCTTTCCTTTCCATTCCATCCCCATCAACCATTGCTTCTGCCTACCTCATCCTAAACCTTCTTCCGACCTCCTCCTCTTCTCACCTCATAATCGGAAAAGAGGGAACAAAAGCTCGTTGCTTCAGTCTCGTCGCCCCCTGGAGACGCTTCCTTAGCCTGCAATCGATCGACATCCATTGGACTTTGCAGCTACTTCGTGCTTTCCTTCTCACCTTCATCGATGTACAAATACATGTGTCAACGCCCATGAAATCATAAATCAAGAAATCGGACTTTAATTCCCCTTCTTTCTTCATTCGAGCCCAAACTATGTGCGGGTGTGTGTGTATGTAGCGTTACTCTTAAATCAGAATTGCAGAAGAACATGTAGAGGCGATAATGGCTTGGTATTTTTTTGAAAATGGCGAAGAGATGAAGGGAATAGTAACTGGTGTTCAGTCAAGATCCAAACTTTGGATCGTGGTGGTTGAAGGCTTTCGATTGAATCCAACGGGGGGTTTTCAAAGTGACGTCGGTAGTAATTAAAAAGGGATAAATTAGGTTAAAATCAACTAGCATAATAATAGAAAAGTATTTGGGGAAGTTGTTTATAAAATTACCTAATTACCCTTATTTATTTATTTAATTATATATATATATATATATATATATATATATATATATATATATATATATATATATATATATATATATATATATATATATATATATATATATATATATATATATATATATAGTAGATGTGTGCCCGTGTAACGCAACGGCGTTAAATAGTTTTTCAGCGAATAGTTTTCTTACGGGAAGTAATTATTAGATTTTGTTAATAGTTATTATGTAATAATAAAAATTACCACTTTTGATTAAAATATTTATGTTTAGAACTTATATTTATATTGTATCTTTATATATTTGATATAAATTAATTATTATTTGTATCTAGTTTAACAAACGTAAATTAACTTATATTGATGAATTTAATATTTTAAAATTGTTATTTTGCTCCAAATTAATTTTTTAATAACCTTCCTTAAATCAAGTATTCAAAATTTTGTTAAGTATTAATGGTTTTGTTATGTATAATTGATTTGTACAACAAGTTTTGTATTTTGTACCTCTTAAAATTCAAGATATGACTAATATGTATTATATATAGTATAAGATATAAGATATAAGATACATTATGCATTTATCGCGGTCTAAAATCTTATAGTGCTTGCTTGCCATGATTTAAAATAGCGGTTCTTGCGCTGGGATTGCAGTTTTTAAAAAATTTATATATATATATATATATATATATATATATATATATATATATATATATATATATAATAAAAAAAGTAACTTTACAAATTAAAACTATAACCTGTTGCACAAAAAGAGTTACTGATTAGATGCATAATTGAGGTTTCATTGCAATTACAAATAAAAATGAATTAACTGAGGTTTAATTCCTTAACTAAGTTTTTATCTTTTTCTGTTCCAACTTGTTTCCATCTAGTTTCACAACATAAAAGAAAGGAGATTGAGACTATAATATTACAAGTTGTGGGCTATCCATTTTAAAGTACTTTTTTTTGTATAAATATGTATAAAAAACCCAAAAAAATCAAATAGCGGGAAAAAACTAGGATATCGATATTGAAATACCAGTGAAATAGCGGCAGATATCGGTGATAATCTCGACTTCGATATTATATAATGCTATTTGTAACTGATAATTTGCAAACATCCGCGAAACACTATTCTACCAAGAACTGGACACAATTAACTTCATTATATATATATATATATATATATATATATATATATATATATATATATATATATATATATATATATATAGAGAGAGAGAGAGAGGGAAAGTAAATATACTTTACATGGTATATAAACTTAGGTATCCAAACTCACTATACTACATTGTTTTTGTATCATATATGCATCGTAACCGTACAAGGTTCTTAAACTTCAAACCCTTAATTGATTTATTTCCAAAATATTCGAAATTTCACTATTATCTTCCTCTTAAATCACATTATTATGTTGAACATCAATCACGCTATAAATATATATATATATATATATATATATATATATATATATATATATATATATATATATATATATATGCATGTGTATGTGTGTTTTTCAATCATGTTGAAATCAGTTGTATTTATAAATACATTTTTTTATAAAATATTAACCTAATTATATTAATGATGAAAATTTATTAAAGGTTAGCAAGAAGCTAAAACCTAAAAACAAAATTAATTTTTATGTTACAATGATAAGAACCCATGCACCCCATGTTAGGCTCGTATTAAGCCATAAGTACAAGTGTAGGACTCACTCCAAAAAGCTAACTTGTAGGGGGGGGGGGGCACTTGGGCTTATAAGCCACCAACTTATTGTAATTTTGGCCGATGTGGAATCATAACAATACCCCACGCCTTGAAGAGCGAACATCCTCGTTGGTCATGGTTGGCATCCACTTTTCAGTCCATGTAGTTATTCTTGGTCATGACTACGTTGGTCATGGTAGACACCCTCTTTTGGGGTCTAAGCCACCACTCCAAGTTGGAACTTCGAAAGACGTGGATGGCTCTAATACTAACTAATACGAGCCCATATCATACTCGCCTTATATCAAACCATAATCCCGAGTGTACTAATATGTTTTTAATATCTAAACACACGATTATGCACATTAGAAAAATAACAATAATTCATATGTGTTCATGCAAACTAGAGGATCTAAGTTTCATGTTATTACTGCTACTACTATAAGAAACTAAAAAATTTGTACAACTTTTGATGATAATGATCTTATTGCTTAAGACCTTCTCCTTTGACACCTTGCTTGGATTACATAACCCAATCCAGAGTCTTTATTTTGTTTCACACCTAAGAACACTAAAGAGCATACCAAATGAAACCTAGGAGAGATGATTGAATTCTATAAACCATAGATAGGGTTAAGAAAATCATCCTTATGTTTGGAGGAAGGAGAATGGATAAATTTTAAAGCCAAGGGATGAGCAATAGGTTTTTATCCCTAACACCTTTTTTATACGCTATAGTTGCTTAGTCCCAAATAAACTCCAAAATTTTATTGGATAAGCCTAAATTTCAGCGTACCGTATCCTTATAGGTTTCTGGAATATTCCAGTTAGTTAGCTACAAATTAATTTACGTTCAAAACTCTAGAATTAATTAATTTCCAGTTAAATTATCAATCCATGATAAATTAATAAACAAATTTCTCTTAAACTCTTATTTTGTCAATTGTATCATACAGGCTAAAAGGACCCTGCTAGTATTAGAAATATTAGCAACAATTAATGACCTTTAACACTTTCCAACAAGAACTCACTCCCAATACATTTGGGTTTATAGCTTGATACGAGTCTAGTATGGAATCTGTTTATATCATATAAAGTTCCAAAAATAAGCAGAATTTCAAGGTCAACTAATCAACTTAAGGACTCAACACGAACTAGAGAGTCATTTACAAGAACCAACAAAACCAAGTGAAAACGAAACGTATGATGTAGTTCCCTTACATGGAAAACCATCCCAAT